ATATGAGTTGAACATTTACCTGAGGTAGATACACTCCTTGGAGAGAACAATCATGGGCGAATAGAAGGGCTGTTTATGCACAGGGAGACAACTCAGGGGCCGGGAGTGCATGGAGGGATGGATAGAGGGAAGAGGTAACTATCGGGAGGAAGTGGGAGGGGAGCTGTTGCATTGGGGTAAATTGTAGTCAATGTCACGAGACAAAGTGTATGTGAACTGCTGTATGGAAAGTGAATTTGCTCCGTAAATTTTCACCCAAATTACAATAAAAAATAAATTAAAAAAAAAAAAAACAACCACCTTAATGGGTAGGTAGCATTGTGGTTAAGGATGCTAACCAAAAGGTAGGCAGGTTCGAACCCACCAGCTGCTCCACAGGAGGAAGGTGAGGCAGTTTACTTCTAAAAAGATTTACAGCCTTGACAACCTAATAGAGGTCACTGTGAGTCAGAATTGTCTTGATGGAAGTGGGTTTGGGTTTTTTGGTACTATGTTTAATAAATACTGTGATGAGTGCTGGGTGAGGGATTATTTTGTGCAAGAGGGATAAGACTTTATTTATTTTGTGTGTGTGTGGCTCTGGAAATTACAAGGAGGCAAAATATGGGAATTATTTTCTAAAATTTAGGGCAAACCACAAATGGATGTAATTTCCTCTGAAGATAGTGTACTCTTTCACTAGAAACCTTGAAGCCAAGTTCAATTCCTATGTCAAATGGAGGTTGTGACTACTTTTGATTATTATAGGTGAAGTTAGAGATATTCAATAAGACTGGTACTGTGGAAGTACAGCAATCTATGGACTGGGCAATAGGCAGCAACTAGTCTTTCTAAGATTTTCAAAATTGGCTATAATTTAATGAGAAAGATGAAATGAGAGGTGTTTATGTGCATATGTGGTTTCCTACTCTGATAAAAGGGCTTAAGTAGATTAAAAGGGAATAGAGAAAATCATTTGAGAGCCATATATATAAAGACAAAGTTATGTTCATTGTTAAATTCCATAAAAATATGGTATTTAGCAGTTAGATAAACCATACTGAAAACCAAAAACAAAACTCACTGCCATTGAGTCAATTCCAACTCATAACAACCTCCTTTGGGTTTCCGAGGCACTAAATTTTTACGGAAGCAGATTGCCCAGTCTTCCTTCTGCAGAGTGGCTTGAACCACCAACCTTCTGGTTAGCAGTCAAATGTCTTAGACATTATGCCACCAGAGCTCCTTAGGTCAAATTATGCCCTCCAAAACCTAAGTGTACATGCTATAAAGTGTGCATACTTTAAATAAGGGTTTCCTTCAGAGAACAGTACCACATCCTACCCTTATGTACTGAATCCTCAAACTTGGAACATCTTTCGAAAGTCATTTATTTCCCCGCTTCTGCTTGGATTAGAGGGGATATTATATGAATATAAGGGAGGTATGGTTAAAACTGTACTGCTTAAACATCTCTAAATAGGGAACCCTACCTCTTCAGTCTGTTTACAGCTCTTAGGGTCTGGAAATATTCTCTTTTATTTCATCCAAGCCTTTAGGATGTAATAACCTATTTATTCCTCAGAGTCTGCATCTTGTTTAGGAATGCAAAGATAAGCTCTAGACAAACTTTTGGCTTGTTAAGTTTTCATTTAACTCCTGGCAGTGCTTTTTGGAGGGCTGGAACTGGTAGGGACAGCCAGGAGGCGATGGCAGATGGCCTTTTGGAGGGCTGGAACTGGTAGAGAAGGCCAGAAAGCGGGAGTGGAGCAATTTGGAACAGCTCAGAGAGACGAACTCATCTGTCAGTTTGTCATCTTATGGTGGCTTGTGTGTTACTGTGAGGCTGGAGGCTGTGCCACCAGTGTTTCAAGTCCCCAACAGCGTTAGCCATGATGGACAGGCTGCAGCCTAAGATAGACTCGGAAGAAGGAAGAGGCCATCCACTTCTCAAAGAATTGGCCCGTGAAAACCTTATGAATAATGGTGAAACACTGTCTGATAGATATATTACTGAAAAATAGCCCTGAAACAATGTCTGATAGGGTGCCAGCGGATGTGCCCCTCAGGTCAGAAGGCACTCAAAATATAACTACAAAAGAGTTGCCTCCTCAGAATAGAGCTGACCTTGATGATGTGGATGGAGTAAAGCTTTCAGGACCTCCTTTTTTTTTTT